TAGAGTTCAATTATACTATCGAGTACAAACAAGTATCATCCAACACCACCATGGATGCTCTCTCAAGAAAGAAATTTGACGATCCTGACGCATAAGTATTGTACACTACATCCACCTCTACCATTGCTTGGATGATGGAAATAAGCAATAGCTATACCAATGATCCCTTCACTCAGCCAATTACTCATAAAATCGGTAGTTTTTCCAAATAGTAGGCCACCTTTTAGCCTGTAACAAGGCATCATCGGGTATAAAAGAAAGTTGGTAATAGGTGACAAAGAAGAGCTGTAAAATCAACTATTGAACCAATGTCACAACTCAGCAGTAGGGAGACACTCATGAACCAGAATCACTTATGAGCGAGCGAAACAACACTTATATTGACCTAACATGAAGAAGCATATTATACAATGGATCTAATAATGTGATATCTACCAATATTGTAACGCAGAGAAGGTTCCCACACTAGTCTGCTACAGCCCGTGGCCATACCCTTATATGTTTGGACTCACATATCTATGGATTTCATCGAAAAGTTACCAAAACTTGAGGGAAATGACACCTTATTAATGGTGGTGGACCATTTTTACCAAATACGGAAACTTTATACCATTATACCACTCACACATTGCAACTATAGTTGTTAGGTGTTATATGAAAATTGTGCACAAAGCTACATAAAATTCCACAAGTGATAGTGTTCAATAGAAACAAAAATTTTCCCTAGTCTATTATGAAAGAGTTGATGAAAGCGGTAGAGACAAACTTGCACTTCAATTGTACATATCCTCTACAGACGGGTAGCCAAACTAAAAGGCTAAACCAATGTCTCAAGATGCATCTACATTTTAATGGCAAATAAACAACCAAAGACTTGGGCTAAATGGTTGATCACGCTAAATGATAGTAATACCCCGTACCACACGAGCTTGACACCCTTCCGAGCACTTCATGGATATCCTTCTCCGTATTTCTTAGACTCCATACAAGTCTAGTCAACTTCACCTTCAGTAGAAATGCTCTTGTCTGAAAGAAAAGAGGTCAACAAGACAATCTATCAACAACTATTGAAAACACAATTCGAGACAAAACAGTAAACAAACAACCACCAAAGTGAGAGAAACTTTAAAGTCCAAGACTAGGTACTGCTCAGACTACAGCCCTTAAAACAAGGGTCAGTAAAATGGAGAAAAGAGTCCAAATTATCTTCTTGACACTACGGCCTATTCCCCGTCTTGCAGAAGACTGAGAATGTAGCTTACAAGCTCAAATTGCCAACAACCTCATGAATCCACCCCATCTTTCATATGTATCAACTGAAGAGATACGTCCCGGGCACAGAGGCGATTCAACAAGAGGCTTACCTCCCAATACTTATGAAGTTTTCATCAACGTGTAACTTCAACAACTCTTGAAACAATAAATCGTACTACGTGGCAACCAACCTGTGGATCAAGTCCTTATTTGATTGGAATAAGCTCCAACTGAAAATGTACGTAAGAAGGCTGAGTATATTCGTCATCAAGTTCTTGATCGTAACCTTGGGAACAATGTTGCTCGAAGAAACAGTATTGTCACAAGGCCTTTGAAGGTGTATTGTAGGATAAGGGTAAAAGGGAGAAATCCTGTACAAGGATAAAATGAAAAAAAAAAA